TATAGTAATAAAACGCACAAAGACATTAGATCACCCATATACGTTCCATTTTACATTCGATATGTAGTCTAAATACCAACTTCGACTTTACGGCGATACTTAAATTCCGTGTTACCCACTTATAAGGAGATGCAATAGAACCAGTCTTAGCGGTATATAATTGTAAAAAAATAAATGATACACCGTTGTTTTTTCAATTCAATCTTTATTCATTTCATCATAGAAAAAATACATTAATGTTAAAATACTTGATGAAATTGCAGCTCATTTGAACCTCGGAGGCTGTATATTTAAGTTGCACAGAAACGTGAATAAATTTTTAATAAATAATTTAAATTAATAGTAAATTAAAATATTAAAAAATATCTATTATATATATACGATATAGGCCCATATGATGCCTAAATTTGAATAACAATGATCCACATGTGTTGTACCGTACCGTGCAAATGTGATCGTTTTTATTTAACTCAGTTCAAATCTAATAAGTTCTTCGAAATACACAAATATGGGTACAGTACTACAATATGCTACTGTTGTGTCCTATTTACAAATATATAAAAAAAATGTTCCTTATATTGAACTTTTCATTTTTGTAAAAAAAATTTCCATAAGGCAAGACTTTGTTTCATGAACTTATTTTTTAAAGATCGTCAGAGTGGAAAATAAAATTATGTTTTCTTCTTCAGCAAAATGATTTTGCGAAAACCAGCTAGGAGAAAATTGTATTAATTAATTAATTAAACAGGTTAGTAAAGAGATTGATGAATGCTTTAATTTAATTAAATAATTAAAGGAAGTAATACTGTATACATATAAAATAGTCATCTGAAGAATTTCAGTTAAAAGCAGTATCCTTTGAAATTCTTAAGTACAATTAGAACAATTATTGACAAAGCCTATCATTCGACAAACAATATTGTTGAAACAAAAACACCTTTTTGAAACGAACGCGCCATACTTTACGGACGTGTTCTTAAGCACTCGCTTGACCAATCATGTTGGTTGTTTCTAAGAACGTCAGGCTATATAACAACATGACATTTTAGAAATCAGACATCAATTTCAAATTGAAAGTAATATGGCTCGTACTAAGCAAACTGCCCGTAAATCTACCGGAGGAAAAGCTCCCCGAAAACAGCTTGCCACCAAGGCAGCACGAAAAAGTGCTCCAGCCACCGGTGGTGTCAAGAAGCCTCATCGTTACAGGCCTGGAACCGTCGCTCTCCGTGAGATCCGTCGATACCAGAAAAGCACCGAACTTCTCATCCGCAAGCTCCCCTTCCAACGGCTAGTACGAGAAATCGCCCAAGACTTTAAAACCGATCTCCGATTCCAAAGTTCTGCCGTCATGGCTCTTCAAGAGGCTAGCGAAGCTTACTTGGTCGGTCTTTTCGAAGATACCAACCTGTGCGCTATCCACGCCAAACGTGTAACCATTATGCCAAAGGATATCCAACTGGCCCGCCGTATTCGTGGTGAACGTGCATAAAGCTGTTTTATATATCAGTTAATTCAAACCAAAAGGCTCTTTTCAGAGCCACAACTTGTTCGAAAGAGAAGAAAGCAATTTGCCTTGTTTGTGTCCTTTTTTTTACCATGCATAATAACAGATACCGGTATAGTTTTTATTTTCTAATATTATGAAAAATAGAATCTTATGTACACCTAATTTTTCTAAATATCTGTTACCACATCGCTAGAAACAGTGAAAGACAAACACAAAACAACGAACAATAGTTACAATTGAGGGCTAAAACTTATTTGGTATTTTCAATTAGAATTGTAATGGATAGTGGCACGAATATGTCGGTTAACTCGCCTTTAACAAAAAGGACTAATTCTGTGTCACGAGGAAATATTGATGACTTATTTTATATTGTTTCTGTCGGTAAATTATAATGAATATACTATAGGTGTATTCCCAGGATATAAGATTTCATTTTACCCCTGCCATGTATTTCCATTTTTATTTCACATAATATTGTATTTTAATTGTATAATAGTGTTCAAATAAATAAGTAAATGACAATGAATTCAACGACAACAATACAGTATAATGAACGTTGTTAACATGACTGTCATGGCACTTAGTTTATAGGGGGAAAGTTTGTAGGGGATGAGATTGTAAGGGGAGAATTGACTGGAATCCGTTCAGTCAAGCATAATACTTATAAATATAATGGTAAAAATATCAGTGTATCATTGTAACAACAGAAAATTTAAAGTTATGCGAAAGTATACTTACCTGAAATATAATTAAGATTATAATTATGAGCTTTTCTGAAGGCGAGATTCAAGGCCGCCGTCCGTGACGGCCCAGGTCCATCCGGCGCCTGTGATAGGCGCCAATACTGTATTTCAATTACGTTGTCCGTATACAATTTTGGCGCGCGTGATTTTTGGAACAATACATTTTGCCCGCATTTTATGCAGGAGCCACATTGGTTGAAAAGCCATAATCACCTATTCAATCAATCGCGCGCTTTAAAACACCAATAGGAAGCGTTCTAGATTGGTTACGGCTTAACAGGAAACCCTGCTTAGCATATCTAAGTCAATAAATACCGTGCTTAACTTTAAGTTCGTCACTCACTTATCTATTCTTAGACTAAAACGAGAACATGCCTCCAAAAGCTTCAGGAAAAGCTGCCAAAAAAGCCGGCAAGGCTAAAGCCGTCAGAGCTGGCGACAAGAAAAGAAGACGTAAACGAAAGGAGAGCTACAGCATCTACATCTACAAGGTGTTGAAGCAAGTTCACCCAGACACTGGTATCTCCAGCAGAGCCATGGGAATCATGAACAGCTTCGTCAACGATATCTTCGAACGTATTGCCGGTGAAGCATCTCGTCTTGCTCACTACAACAAGAAATCCACCATCACCAGCAGGGAAGTCCAAACCGCCGTTCGTCTTTTGCTGCCCGGTGAATTGGCCAAGCATGCTGTCTCTGAAGGCACCAAGGCTGTCACCAAGTACACCAGCTCCAAGTAAACAAGTCATCTTAGCGAAATTTCAAACCAAACGGCTCTTTTCAGAGCCACAAACAGTTCAAACGAGATTTGTGTGCAATATCTGTACATTTGTGTGCTTGTTGTTTCCAAATTAGTTAAAAAATTCAGAACATAATAATAGAAGATGCCTAACTATATGAGCGAAATACACTTTAAGTATACGTCATAATTATATCACTTATATAGGCCTATAAATATATCCTAAATAACAAAGCTACCGTGAACCTTTTAACAATGTCCAATATACTAGTAATAATTACAACAGATATCTACTGTCATCTAGGCCTATCTATTAGTAATACTGTACGACGTTATTGTATATTTATTATGAAATATACTACCTGTAATTTTACAGTACTGAATATACGCTATAGATAGGCATATCTATTAGTAATACTGTACGACGTTGTTGTATAATATTTTTCCAGGACCACAATGAAAAACATTTCTTTAAAATGATTGTGTCATCCTGGCTAAAGATAATAGTAAATAAATAAGTTATGAAATAAATACCTGTAATTTTACAGTACTGAATATACGCTATAGATAGGCCTATATGTTACATACCTGCCAACTGTCCCGATTTCCGATGTAAAAAACAACAAAAAATTGGGATGTCCCTATTTTTAGAATTAAAGTTAAACAAAAAATAATAATAAATAAAATACATTGTAAAAAGTATCCATTATTTGCCAGTGTGATGAAACCCGGGAATAATTTCGCCAGTATCGCATCGCAATTGGCTACACATAAAAAAAAGATTTGCTGCACAATTTCTGAAGTTAATCGGGTAAGATCACAATGCGATACATTTTTACAGTACTGTACTACCATATAGAGAAATAGAACAGAGTTATTTTAATAACTAAAGAAACATTGCAAAAGTTTTCTGTACAGAACGGAACTTTTAAGTCAATCCCTAGACTAGTATGCTGTCACTTCACACAGCATGCAGTAGTGGGTTTGAATTAAGAAGTCTGTAGGCCTTATATACTGATTAAAATGTAACTTAAATATTTGTGTTGCTTGTGAGGTAAATAAACAGTACATTTGAAATTAAGTAACTCTTGTTTTTTATTTACTGATTAAAATGTAACTTAAATATTTGTGTTGCTTGTGAGGTAAATAAACAGTACATTTGAAATTAAGTGTCCCTTGTTTTTTATTTAAAGCAACTGTATAGGAATCAGGATATATAATTACCATCTTATAAATTGTTTGGGGTGGGGGCATGGCACCAATGAATAGCATCCCTATTTTTGATATTCAAATGTTGGCAGGTACAATATGTATATATATATTTATTGGATTACCTTTTGCATCAGTGGCACACATCAAACAATACCTTATGGTGCATCCATACGAAAAAAAAGTAAAGAAATTAAATCAAATTGAAAAAACAAAAGTAACAACATAAACAAGGGTGAATTAAAGGCCATGAATACACTATGGCAGAGATGGTACCGTAATTGATGGTAACTTGTAGAAGTAAAATATTTGGATACGTATAACTTGGTGTTCATAATGGGATAGTATAATGTATGGTTTCAGTTAAAGTATATAGACAAATTAAATGAAATACAATTAAATAGAGTATTGTAATATATAAGACATAAGTTTTAACAGGTTAATTAGTCAAACAAAATAAAAGAAAATAAAATTACACACAGTACAGTACAGTAGTACAACAAAACCTTCAATTTGAATTGCCGTACAAATAAGAAATCCTTGACATCAAGTAATGTTGAAAAGAGGTATTTAGTTGTTTACTGGAAAATTGTTATAAATGTCAATGCGTTCTTTCCATGCATTAATTTATAATTTGCAATATTTATCGAACAGTTTGCTTGCTAATTCATATTCCTCATGGGATATCTTTCTGTAATTTGGTATTAATTGTGAATTACTAGGTCATCGAAAAATAGGGGATACAGTATTTAAGTTCAAGAGAACTTGAAGTAAACAAGTTCCAAATATATTTAAATTATTGTGATGTAAGTCTTCTTTAAGTTCTTTTAATTTTGGTTCACTAATATGCTTTAATTTGTTGCAGCTAAATATAAAATGATATTAACTATTTCTTTTTCACCACAATCACATGCCTAAATTTTGATATAGTACCTCTGTGCGCCAATAATTTCTAATACATTTGTAAATTTGCGCCAAGTAGAACAATAGAATGGTAAGGCAGCTGATTGGGTCACAATGAAGCTAAAGCGGGACGGGGACTGCCTGTGATTGGTTAATCTACTGAGCGCTGAAAGTCGAACGCAACACCAGAGCAGGCTATATAAACGCAACTATTCGTTGAATTATTATCATTCTCGATTTTAGTAAAACCGAAGAACAAAATACAATATGTCTGGACGTGGTAAAGGAGGAAAAGCTAAGGGAAAGGCCAAAAGCCGATCTAGCCGTGCTGGACTTCAATTCCCAGTCGGTCGTGTCCACCGATTCTTGCGAAAGGGTAACTATGCATCTCGTGTCGGTGCTGGTGCCCCAGTCTACATGGCTGCTGTACTCGAGTACTTGACTGCTGAAATCTTGGAGTTGGCTGGCAACGCTGCCCGTGACAACAAGAAGAGCAGAATCATCCCCCGTCATCTTCAACTTGCCATCCGTAACGATGAAGAGTTGAACCGTCTTCTTGGAAGTGTGACCATTGCACAGGGAGGTGTACTACCAAACATCCAGGCTGTACTTCTGCCAAAGAAGACCCAGGCCAAGACCAAGTAGAATCTAATAACTACTGTATCTTCTCAAACCAAACGGCTCTTTTCAGAGCCACCAAATACACAGAAAAGATTTGAATATGTAGTTTGATATGTAGTGTTCCTTTATTTTATGTATAATATTAATATCATTCAATAAGCCATTTCCAACAATAATATATTATACATTTATATAGATCAGGGGGATGTGTATATGTCGTACCTCACTAGATACCATAATGCGTAATATAGCAATACTCTACTACTATTCTACTACTAACTAAAATATATTAAAGGCACAGCGTAAAATAATACAATTAATTTCAATGCTAAATCAGTTATTTTGCAACATCGGATAAATGTATTTTCCATTGGTCTGAGGGCGCCTTTGGTGTGTTGGGTCACTTGACCGATTCCATTCGCTGTGACACGTCGCTTGTATTTCAGCGACGTGTCATGAGTCTTTAGATATGTTTCTAATCGTATGTTTCTCTTTGCAGGCTCTAGTATGGGACGCCCAACAGACCTGTCTCTTATACACATCTAGATGTGTATAAGAGACAGGTCAAGAACGCAATTGGTGGTGTAAAAGAGTATATTGATGATGCCATTAAGATACACAAGACGGAGACACAGAAAATTAAAATGGCGGCGAAGGTCAAGTTTCGATTTATAGGCAATCAGGCTCAGTTCGAGTTTAATTCTGAGCTCCTGGATTGGGTTGAGAAAGAAGGCGATTCTTTAGGGAAGGCCGACGCTGTCGATAAGGTAGGCGCTGATTTGAATGAGATTAAGAAATTGCTGCATCGGCGCAACAAATTGATCAGGATTGCGGATAAGTCTGAAGG